GGTGCATTTGCCTCAGGATGGTAGGGTTCGATGATCTTGATCGGTACACACAGTGTCTTAAGCCTGTTCAACACTTCCTGGTTAACGAATTATGTCCCATTGTCTGCTATAAACCTGCGCACGAAGGGGTGCCTTAGGTAGAAATCTTCCACCCAGTCGGCCACCGCTTTCCCCGTCTTCTTCTTGAGGGCYATGGCTTCCACATAGCCACTGAGATTATCCCTTGCATCCAAGATGTATCTAAACCCATCTGTTGATACGGGCATAACGGCAAGGTCGAGGTGAACAAGGTGTCMGGGTCCCAGTACCCGGGTAGGTCTAAGGGGCTCGTAAACTCGTACGACGCTYCTTTCTTGAGATATCAGACACGTTTGACAATACGTTGCGACCATGCCTGCCATCCCTGGCCAAAAGTACAGGGGCACGATCTTTGCAAGTGTCCCCTTGGACGACCGGTGACCTCCAGCTAGCCCGTCATGCATTGCCTGGATTACGTCCAGYTGCCTAGACCTCCCACAAACGAGACGCCTAGGTATCATCCCTTCCTCTTTCTTGAACATGTGGCCATTTCTTAGGACATACTTTTCGACTTCCTCCCTTGCCTTGGGACTGACTTCCGTGGGTTGTTTGTTCCCTACAAGTAGCAGACCGATTTCTTTGGAGACGCCCTCGYACATCTATATGAGGAAGAACTCYTGTTCCTTCTGATCCGTACCCTGCTCCTCCCGAGTGAGGTTGACTAGATACTAACACTCCTGCGCCCAGGCTTCGGCCAACGTCATCACGGCGTCCCGTCCCCCCTCCAYGGTCATTGCCATCAGTTTCTCTCTGGCCCCTACTTCTGCTCCCCACGAGTCCTTTTCCTCTTTGCGCCTGACCGTGGTGACTGGTCCTTCCCTGAGTTCTGCAACCACTGCAGGTGCGCCCTTTTCCAAGGTCTGAATCAGCAACTGACCTGTTGTAATTGCCGGATCTGCCATCTCATTATCCACGACAAGGGTCCCTCCTTCGTACTCCAGGAAGGCGTCAATTGGTTCTACGTCCTCTACTCCTTCTGGCGTGATACAAACCCTGCTCAACCCATCTGCCCTATTTCGAAGCCCTGCAATTCGCTCGACCTTATAGTCGAATTGCCATATRAAGCCTATCCATCTGCCGACAGTCGGGTCTATGGGCTTGTAGTTCTTTAGGGCTCCGACAACGTTGGTGGGATCGATCCTTAGGATAAATCGCCTCCCGAACAGGTATGCCTGGAAGGTCTTTAAGACAATGCAGGATTGCTAAGACCTCCTTCTTGAACTGCGAATACCGTCGTTCTGCTGAATTCAGGGTCCTACTTTCAAATCTGATTGGTCTTTCTTTGCCCTCCTCGCTTCTCTGTATCAATACTCCTCCCATTGCCAATGGTCCCCCATCTGTTTCTAGGATGAAGGGCCGTCCTACCTCGTCATTGAAACACGGTGCTGCTAACGTGACCTTATCGGACGACACGATGTTTTTCAGGGTCTGGGCTGCTTCTTCCCTATCCTCTGTCCAATCCATAGTGCCACCGTCCCTAATCATCGCGCGGATGGGTTCTGCTATCTTTGTGAAACCTTTGATAAAGATCCTCCAGAACCCAACCACCCCTAGGAAGGCTCGTACTTCCGTCGTGGTACGCAGGGGTGTCGKCCACTGAGAGATCTTATCAGTCTTTGCTGGATCGGGTCTCCTCCCATRAGCTCCACAGCTGAATCCCAATATGGTTACTTCCGGGACGGCCAGGATGCTCTTGGGTCCGCTTGCAGTAATATTGTAAACGAGGAAGCGCTGGAGTAGGTCCTTAATATCCTGCAGGTGGTCCCAAACAAACTTTCGTACGGCCGGCTCAACCTCCGTCTCGTCCTTGTACCTTGCGCCTTTTACGGGATTATCATCTATATATGGTTCACACTTTTCCGGAAACATAMCCCTTGYGACGGCGAGCATCCTTCWCTGCGCCTCTGCTACCGCATTTGTAAAACCCATAGGGGTCACTTGCATCTGCAGCTGGCCTACGGGGGTGTGCATTGCGGTGTACGGTCTATCCCTCRCATCGAGCGGCAACTGATCATATCCTGAGTACAAGTCTACCAGGGAGTAAATACTCCGCCCCGCATGAGATTCTGCCAACAAGTCGGCCTGTGGAAGCGAGCCTGCGTCCCTGATTGTTACCGCATTAAGCTTTTGCAGGTCCTGGCTCCACCTGAGCGTCTTATTGGGCTTCCTGAACACGAACCACTTGTTCGCGTAGGGGGATRAGSTGGGTTCAGCCACGAAMGAATCTATCTTAGCTCTAAGCAGGCCGGTGACCTCMGCTGCTATMCCAAACTCATAGGCGGGCCCTTTATCATTCCAACACTCGTGCTGTACGGTGTGGATCCTGACCGGGGGAACTAGCTTTGCGTCCAATYKTCCTTTCTGATGGTCGTTGAAGGCGAAGGCTAAATGAAACTCCTGACATGCTTTTCTTATCAACTGAGTTTCTTCCGCTGTTAGAAACCCTTCCACTCCTATTTTCATGGTGTTTGCTACCTCATCTGGTATGTGATGCCCTTCCGTTGCTCGCCTCTCCCTTATTACCCGCAAGATTTCCTCCTCCTTCTCCATGGCCTCTTCCTTTGACGTTTCTACTAGGATCGAGACCGGCTTGGCCTTCTTGCCTACGGGTTTATACTTTCGCACACTACCTTCGGGGATCGTTCTCCTAAAA